AATGCATAAATATATAATTAACTCAGTATAAATATAAATTAATTGGTTCTATTAATAAAATCACTAAGGGATGATTTTTTCATTTAGTATTTAATTGTAACATAATCCACTTTTCATTTTACATCTGCTTTTTTTTCTTACAGTAGATCCAAATGATTTGTACATTGTAGAACCTCTTAAGTTCTCTCCAGAAAAAAAGGTAATATTTTGTTTAAAGTTAATTGGTATGTTATGTGGTAATAAGTGAAGAAATAGGTTGAAAGGTTTAACATAACCTTTAAGTAGTCCGTAAGTTATGTTTATTTTCAATCATGGTAATGGTGTAAATAAATGTTTATAGGGATCAGCAAACTGTGATCCACAAGCCATATGTGGCCTGTGGCCTATTTTGTTGTATGAGCTAGGAGCCAAGAAGTCTTCTCATTTTTAAAGGGATATAAAATAAAACAAAGAATATGCAAGGGAGACACTATGTGAACTGCAAAGCCTATTTACTATCCAGTCTTTTACAGAAAAAGTTTGCTGATCTTTGGATGGTAGTCATTATTAATTGAGTATCTAATACATGCCAGGCGCACAGTGCATGCACTATTTCAATAATTTTCACATTAAGTTATACTGATTTTGATTAGTAAGAATTATCTCTAGGGGAAAGAACTTGGGCTTTATAGTCAAATAGCCTAAGATTCAATTCCAACCAAGCCACTTACCACTTTGTAACTTGGGCAAGGAGCCAAACCTCTGAACCTTGGTTTTCTCATTTAGGAACCAAGGATAAAATACCCACCTTTCAGGGTTAGTAAGATATACATGAAAGCAGCCTGTACAATATCTGGCACATAGTAGGTATTCAGATGTTAGTTAGCACTCCCTGAATCACAGGTAGCAGGTAAGAAATTTAAAGAGTTTTGAGTGAATAGTATTTATGAAATGGGAAAGTGGTGATAGTAGCTGTACAGAACGTGACTGTGTGTGTGTCTACGTATGCTGTTTGTAATACTGTTTTACTTTTCACCAGGAGGTGGCACTTTTCTCCATTAGCTCAGCTATCTAGATGTCTGGTAAGGTAACTATGGGAGTTCTCTTTCCTAACCTTTGTTTTACTTGTATTATAGAAGAAACGCTGCAAGTACAAAATTGAAAAAATTGAGACCATAAAGTCTGCAGATCCATTGCACCCTATAGCCAATGGAGACATAAAAGGAAGGAAGCCCTTTACGAACCAGAGAGATTTTTCTAATATGGGGGAAGTGTATCACTCTTCTTATAAGGGTCCTCCATCTGAAGGAAGCTCAGAAACTTCATCACAGTCAGAAGAGTCCTATTTTTGTGGCATTTCAGCTTGCACAAGTCTGTGCAATGGACAGTCTCAAAAGACAAAAACTGAGAAGAGGGCCTTAAAACGAAGGCGATCTAAAGTCCAAGACCAAGGAAAATTGATAAAAACTCTAATACAGACTAAGTCGGGATCATTGCCGAGTCTTCATGACATAATCAAAGGAAACAAAGAGATCACCGTGGGAACATTTGGTGTTACAGCAGTCTCGGGACATACCTAAAATTAATTGAACTTTTCATACTGGAGACTTTTTTTGTTCTTTGAAGAACAGTCTGTGGTATTTGAAGGGTTTGGGGAGGGAGAAAATGGGAAAAGTATTCAGAAATTATGGTTTCTGCCTTTTTAAAAAGTAGATGGGATTGTGTCAATCTTGATTAATGAGCTGCAGTTTTACAAGGCTGATCACTTCCTACAAGGACAATGGTAGACATTTTATAAAGATGTTTTTTCACATATTAATCACTGGGACAAAAGTAATTTGGAAGCCCAGTTCCTTGGGTGGGATAGGAATGAAAGCCTAAACCTCTTCCTTTAGCTTTGTTCCTATTTCTTGCACCTTCCCATATTTATGTGCCTTTTGTCTATTTATAATGCCACTGGAAGAGGAGGGAGAACCTTTTCTGTCATTTGATTTCTTTTATAACTTTGTTAGGTTTTTGAAGCTGCAAACACTACAAGGCTTTTAAGGTGGTCTGTGCCTGAAGCTCGGCAATGTGGGTCAGACAGTGTAAAAATCCTAAAGACTTGCCAACTAGATCTCTGTTTAGCAAACTCATTGGAAATAAACACTTGCTGGATTTTTAAATTCTGTTCTTTTAGGTTTAGGTAAATGGTGATGCTGTTTATCTTATTTTCATCTAACTTATTCAGACTTTTTCCTTAGTTACTAACTCAATGAGGGAAAAAAAGACCAACTATAAGGTTTTTTTTTTTTTTTTGCAAATAACTGGTATTTGCAAACAAATTTTTGATAAATTCACCTTTGAAACACATTTCACCATTTGTAAAGGTTTTCTTTAGCTACATTACATTTTAAAAGTTCACAGTAAACACTAATCTTCCAAGGTTTCATATCACAGTTTTCTATTACTACAAATATAAAATTTGAAGATTTAGCAAATGAGCCAGGTCTCATATGATGTAATCACTGCCTATGTACCTATACACAGATCCAGCTAGTGAGTTTGTCAAGCCTTGTCTAATTGGTTAAGTCTAAAAGATCACTATTCCTTGATGTTTGCTTTGTATTGGCTACAAATGTGCAGAGGTATACATGCGTGATGTCAATGTGTCTGTCTTCATTTGTGTTTTTTTCTTTAAAAAATAATTAGCAATGACTGTATTTGAATTAAATGATTTCTCAGTGTGTGATTGTACAGTAATGAGTGAAAGTGGAACATGTTTCTTTTTGAAAGTGAGAGAATTGACCATTTTGTGTTGTGAGATTTAAGTTATAACTTATTGAGCACTTTTAGTAATAACTTTTTTAAACATGTCTAATACCTTTCTTGGGTATTATTTGTAATGTGACTTATTTAAAGCCTTTTTTGTTTGTTTAAGTTGCTGCTTTAGGTTAACAGTATGTTTTAGAAGATTCAACTTTTTTTCCATTCTGCACAATTAGCCATTCAGAGCAAGAGGGCCTGATTGTATAGAAGCCCCTTGAAAAGAGGTCCAGATGAGAGCAGATGTAGAGCGGGAAGTTACGTGATCTGTGTGTTGTGGAAAGAGGACTTTCAGTGTGTAACTACAGAGCTGTAGTGCCATTAGAAACTGTGAATTTCCAAATAAATCCGAACACTTGTCTTTATTAATTACTGGTTCTTCTGTCTTTTGAAAGAGAACACACAAATTTATTACTAACCTCTGGATGGAGATTTAGGTTTTTGCCACTTTTAAAGCTAAGTATAGTATTAATAGTATCCCATTAAATATTAATCACATTTCGGCCAACTATGAACTGATTATACTTTCACATAAACACTGTGTTCCGGCCGGGCG